TGGGCTGAATTGCACAAAACGCATGATCGCACCGGCTAGTCTGATGCGCGTTGCTATTTATTTTTCCTATACGACGTAGCATCGTATAGCAGTTTATTGATAAGTAGTAATAGTATCGGGATAAATGATGATAACAATAATGACGATAATATTAAAAGTAATTATGATAATATTAATAATAAAAATAATAGTAATAGAATAGTAACAGCCTTGATAGCATGACAGATAACAGAAAGGCTGAAGACAGGCTACGATATACTGCAAAGGGCCTAATATAACAGCAAACTTGATAGCATCCCAGTGCTGTGTCATCGCCGTAAATTCTGTTCGAGGGATATCGGTAATCATGGGTGAGAGGTACTGATTGTGTACTTAATGTGTTGCAAAAAGAACAAGGTATTAACAGCAAGGAAACGAAGCTACCGGCTCTGTCCCTTCGCCCCCTTGCCCAGTTGCCCTTCGATTCCATGTGATATGCAAATGTCCCATCTCCTGCCTGGAGTTCCCTCTCCGTGATATGTAATGATGTGGGGGTCAGGTCGTTTTTGTGTGTGAGTAATTGTGCGGTGACAGCTTGGAGTTGCTGCCACTCTTCTTCCCCGTTCCTCCATATTGTGCGGTGATAGCTTGAAGCTGCTACTGGATATCCTGTGACTGATGGTCGGTTTTTAATAAACCATTGTTTATTGGTTTGGGCGAGTGCTTCTTGCAGCCTCACAGCAGAACCCCGCTGCCCTCTTCTACAGCCCCTCCCCGTCCTCTGCGCGTTACATGAGCGCTGAGCCGATGATCGAAAACCGGAACCTCTTGCGCATGCTATAGATTTCGTAATTCATTTCGCCGTAAGTGTTGTGGATAGCCCCTTTACAGAAAAACATTCGGCTGCTTTCTGTTGAAAGTACAGCTGGGATTTCCTGGAACAAATGTTGATTGAAGTTCTGGTTCTCCCTCTATGCAGCTAGTAAATTTTCATCGACATCGGTCTTGTGTTTTCCTTGTGACGGATTAATTTCCAGCGTGTGTTTTCCTTGTAACGGATAATTGCTGTTTTAGCGTAAAAGTATTCCTGATGTTTTGCAGACCGAAAAGATCATCGGAACGGTATAAAGCGACCGAAAAAGCATCGATTCATGTCCATGAGGGGTGTTGATCAGAAGTTTTTGCGCAATCTTCGATTCGCCAAGAAGCACAACAAGAAGTTTCGTTCTCAAAAAAAGATCGAGGTTGTGGAAAAGGAGAAAAAATAGAAATTACTTTGTCGTCTTCTGCTTGTTGTGATAATGATAAATTGTTAATGTTTTTGTGTTTTGTCGTTTCATCTGGACGATGGATAACTGCCTATGAGGATTTTTCATCACATTTTTGTGTGGTAATTTGGCAATATTCGAATCTGGCGTTCCATGGATTAGGTAATTTTACTTTTTTATACGTTTTGTGCTGTGTAACAGCAATACAAAACGGATATTGTCACGGGGCTGCC